AAAATCATTTGAATTAACATCAGCGAAGCTACCAGTATGTCTCAAGGGCGATGATGCTTTTTCATATTTATCACTCTCGTCAATCTCTATCAGAACTACATTATCGTAGAAGCACTGACAAAGCTTGCCGGAATTTAGACAGGTTTTCAGTTTCATTTTTTCTGTTTTGCACACAGCTATTGAATGCTCTTCACGTTTCACACACTTTTGGCCGTCTTTCAAGCATTTTTTTTCTGTTAAACGAACAATATCATCTGATTCAAGCAAACAATTCACATCCACACTGCACACAGCAGTTTTCACCTCTTTTGCATGCTTTGTCTTTAGGTTTTGAAAACCGCATGCACCTCGGAAAATTTCTGGATACGCCCCTGCTTGTTAGCTTCTCTTTAGTAATGAAGTTGAGTGACAGTGTTTGTTGTACTTTTCACCTATCTTTCTTCTCAAACTTCCCGATAGGTAGGGACATGAAGCAATATGTATTATGTCAAAAGTCATTTAGCAAACATTTTCTCTATTGTTGTTGCCGATTTTTGTTGGACAGACAAAAAATCGCGCACATATTTATTTTTCGTTCGCTCGGAAAAAGAATATGATGTAATGTAATATAAAAAGAAAAAAACTGAACGCAGGTATATTCTAGACGAAAAAATAAAAAAGCGGTTTATCACACTGTTCTCCAAATTGGAATCGTTTGTCTATTGAAGTGTCACTCGGAATGTTCGGATTTGCGTCGGGTTGAGCGTGATCATGGTATCTTTCAATGATGTTTGTGCTAGGAAAGGGAAACGAGGTTTTTTCTTTTGCAAGAGAGTCAAGTATCACTTACTCACAACTCAACGCAAAAAACAAAAAAGATGCTCTCCAAGACCAGACAATCTCGAAATCTTGAAAAAACATTCACAATGCACATTTCAGATGTTCTGACAAATATAGAAACTGACACCAATCTATTTGAATCTCTCCTATGTTCGTATCCATCTCGACTGCGTGCAGTGAAGAACGCTAACGGTCTTCATACTGATTATTGATTGTATTCATAAGACAATAAAAAAATAAAGAGTCTTTATCACATTCAGTTCTAACTTGATCTCATCGATAGCTTTTCTCATATCTATAAGCTGTGCAACTTCATTCATTAAGACATTTCCATACAGTAGAGTCATCATAACTTCATCATTTAGTACCAATAAACCCCGTTTTTGCCGGGCTTTCTTTTGGTATAAATTTCGTTAGGTGTCCTATTTAAAATAATACTGATATCCTCCTGGCAAAATATTATTTCCAACCTAGTACAAATAATAATGGTGTTCTATTAACATCAGTTTATCATAAACCAACAGCTGAACCATATGTTGTACCATTTATTTCTGATCAACCTCAACATGTATTCGTCAATGTTATACATAATCATCTTAGACATGCGTTACGATATTCACCGAAAGTGACAGTATATTAATTCTAGTAATAAATAATTTTCTTTAGTTATCTATCATCATTTATTGAAAATGAATTTCGAAAATTTTTTCATGAACGTATATCTTCAACATCATTGCTACCATTTATTGATAATGAAAAAGAATTTTTTTTATGGGTAACAAATTATTAAGTCAACCAAACGATCATCAATCACATATGGAATCAAGTGTATCAACCACGACTAATATTGATCATACTGAAACACATATCATACAACAAAACACGGCAACAGAATTAAAAAATGAAAAAAATAACAAAGACAAAAGTTTAAAAATACATTGTTTATTCATCATACATATGAAAAATGTTGTCGCCCAATGAAACGACGTCTTCATGAAGTTCATAAAAATATTCTAAATAAATCAGCAGCTAAAAATCTTAAAATGATCGTAGGCAATCAGAATCATCGCAGTGCAACACATGAACTTATACGGAAACGACCAAATCGATCATTACTAAAGAATCATCAACGTAAAAGTGAGTTAATTATATCGAAGCAAGTAACCGTATACTATTCTGTGATGTATCTACTATATTTCGCTTGACTAGGAACACAAAGAAAAGCAAAGAAACAATCAAAAACTGAATATACAAATGATCAAGCAGCGCCATCAATATTATAACTTATTTTTAAATATTATTAGCTTCGAATTATCAAAATACAAGGATATATTTGATTCAAAACTTTCAATGTAACTATTCTCTTTTTCTTTGTAGTATTGTACATATAAAACTGACTTTATATTCTATGACAAGAGTAGATCTTTTCTTTCTTAACATAAAATTATTCTACATCCTTCTATTAATCAAACAACATAATTTCCATTGAATTCCTTTCAGATTTTATTACAAAATTTTACTTGTTCCTACCAACACAAACAATAAATAGAAGATATGATCGGATTCAACAACCATCAGCAAAAACAATAAGAAATAAACTGCAACAATTGAAAGTCATTATTAATCCGTCCATATGAATTCTAGATCATGGTAGCTGTTCTCTCACACCTCAAGAGAGTATCTTTATTATTCGTTTATGCGTAACAATAAAAATGTACATGCTTTTTTGGGTTCGTACTGTATGATAGAATCCTACCTAATTGTTGTGATCAAACACTTCAATACTATCTACTCCCGCATACTAATTTATCATCATTTAATAAGTGTTATATCTATTTTTGCACATGGATTATCCTATCGAAAAATAAAATAAATATGTAGACAAATAAATTGTATGGAATGTAATTTTAGTGATATATAAAGAAGAGAAAAAAAAGCAAAGTTTCAGCGAAAAAGGCGCACTAATGTTGATAGTTGCACACGTACACGGTATGATAACCAGGGACTTTAAAAAAACAAAAACGTGTGTTGCGGCCAAGATGACCATGATGAGCACCAGCAAGAAGATGATGGTCAATAGCCTGATGATCACGCCGAAAATAAAGAGCAGCATGATCAGCACCAGAATGATGAGCAAGAGCAGCCTCATGATCAAGAAGATCAAGACGCTCATCGGCATTTTCAATATTATCATGACGATGACAACGAGGACAAGCCGGGTTCTTTTTTGATGTGTATTGCATATCGTTCCAATCAGCCATCTGTGACGGGGCTCAGGAAAAGTTTTAAAATTAAATCTAGAATTAGTAAACGTCACTGTCTTTTCTTATAATACGTTGTAATTCACAACTTAATGATATAAACAGTTAATGTTACGGCACATTACCAATTTCTAAACTTAGTTTTTAAGAAAGAACGTTTGACTTACAGTTTTGAATTTAGACTCTTTACAGGAAAACTCGTCAAAAAAATCATATCTATCGTTTTGGGGTATCAAATAAAGCAGAAAAACTGGGATTTAAATCCGAGTATATCGTGTGTACTGCAAAAAGTGAAAATATTTAGTGAGATTTAGAACTTTTATGTTTTTCCGGATTTTTTTGCCTACTTTCTTCATTCTCGCTCGCTGAAATATCAAAAAGTTATTTTCTTTCTTTGCTTTGCAAAGCATATGGTTCAATTCAGAATTTTACAACGATCTCGAATATGTGATGTTTTTTGTTCTTCAATGCTTTATTTTGGTGAACAATCGATGGTTACCAGGCAGGATTATGCATACTTTTTGCTCGGTATTCCTCAATTTTTGGCTAAAATACGCATTTTATAATGAAACAAGTTACATATTAGAAATCAATGCGAAATTTAGAATTCATTGATGTGCACCACAACGGAGACAAAGAAAATAATTTTTTTATAATCCAAGGGAGAAGTAGGGAGAAAAATTGGAAAAAAATTAAAGTTTAAGATGTGCTAAACCAGAGGTATGGACTTGTTCAGAATTTGATGTTGATACTGAATATACATATATTTTTGGTCTAAAATATTGCACTTGGTGAAAAATCGACTGATATCGGGTAGGATTATGTATAATTTTTGCCCGGTGTTTCTTAATTTCTGACTAAAACACTAGTTTTATAGCATAACCAATCAGATATTTGAAATCAGCATAAAATTTCAGATTGGACCATATACTTTGCCAAGGAAAGAAAAAGTTTATTTTTGATATTCCAAGGGATAGTACAGATAAAAATTCAAAACAAGTGCAATATTCACAAGTAACCAGTCGGCTTGTTAGGCATCGCTTACTCAATCTTGAAAGGTGGCTAAACATAACACCACATGAAAACTATTGCTATTTTCAAGAAAACCTTCAAAACGAAAATATTTGCTTTCCTTTGAGGAAGTAAAAACCGAAATCACCATTCCACCTTTCCGGTTCAAAATTTAATTCAAAATTTCGACTAATCCACCTCACTAGTTAATGGCTTCTCATACTATCCTTCGTCTGTCCTTGTATATAACATTTCATTATTATATCTGCTGCAACTATTTTACCAACACTTTCAGCCACTACATCTCTACTTATACTTCTCTCTGTATATAACTATCACTCAAAAGTATTACCACAAATCTAGACTTGATATCTATCTCATTATCAGCATACGAACTCAGACTTCATACATAATCCAATCATCTGGACTTCTCTACAGACTTCCATTTATCGTACCTAGCCTTCACACTCTGATCTTCAGTCTTCATCCATACTCTTTTTGCCCTTCAGTGTAAAACAAAGGTGTTAGAGCAATTTCTATTGAATTAAAAACCGTAAAATACTCTTGTTTATCTAAACGACATATTTCCCTATATAAAATCTCCGGAGAACATAAATCATAGTTATTTATTGATCAGAGTTAGAATTAATAAGATTTAGTTCAGATTTGAGAAGTTCTATAATTTCTCGAATAGAGTACTTGACTACTGTTTGTTGGTATCTAACCTTGTCGTGATACTTCCGAATGCTATCCATTTGACTAGCAGTTATCAACTGCTTTATTACTAATCGAAACTTGGGGACAGAGCTCGGATGAAAGTATCTGTACTTGTACTTTTTGTACTTTCTCGAGTAAAAGTATAAGTGCGAAGTATATTCTTCAAAGTATAAGTAAAATACTTTTACTTTGAGAAAAATACTTGTACTTTTACTTAAGGGGGGGTCCACACCCCGAACTTTTATGATTCGATAGGGTCAATCGATAGAGAACATTTTTTTACATACCTCGTAAAATTTTCATGTTATTTGGTTGGACCTTTCCTGGATTATGGCCGATGCAAGGAACGAAAAAATACTTTTTTACTTGTACTTAACTACGAAAATAGTACTTGGTACTTGTACTTGATGTATATGTTCTTCCTAAACTTATTTCTTGATATGTACCGTCACTAATAATCTTAGAAAAC